CTTGTCCCCGCCGCTCCCACCCTGCTCGGATCAACCTTTTGCTTCCACAGCTTTCATCCTCAGTAACATTTCCATTCCCACTTCTGCTTTCTTTCTCCGTGATCTCCTCCATAACGAGGGTATCAAACCAAAGAGTGCTTAAATTCTTTTTTTTTTTCTCCAAAGTACTAAAAATAACCTCCCTTGTGCCTCCCTTCCCAGGAGAAGCCAATCTTTCATACGCTGTTCCCAAGCTTAGAGCTTGCAGCCCCTACATCTTCTTGCTGATGAGGGTGTCAGATGTAATTATTTTTGAAAGCTGTATCCCATGTCACTAATCTCATTTACTTGGGGATATTTCATCTTGTGGCTGTTTAGTCCTGCATTTAGGAAAGCAACTCACATATGGTCTGTAGCGTTTGAGGCCCCTTTTCAATGTTCTGCAGTAAAAATCCAACCCATTTGGATTTTTATCCAAATAATCCACATAACAACCCAAAGAGCAGCAAGATGTGGCAACATATGAAAGATGCTATGAGAGTGTGCACTCTTGTTCGAAAGCAACAAGCAGAGAATACATAGGAAGGATAAAACCTCTTTGCTTTCATTTTTAACTGCAGATACCAATATTTAGAGGTCTAGTGCATTCCAGGGCTCGGGCATCCCTAAGGAACGTGCACTTACCTCTGCCTTCAGTCCCAAGTGCTGTCACAGTGTCTCCCAGGCCCCGTTTTATCCATGCCACACACCTCACACCCCAGCTGAGAAAGGCTCTTTCAGTTCCTCCAATTCTGTTTCACTGCCTTTGGTGATGCTCCAGGTTCACTACTTGTCCAGGCACTGCAGAGCCCAGGCTAGACAGGAGCGTCTCTGGAAAAGTGAAAGTTTTAGGGACATTAGTTGTACTTTCTAAGGAATAGTAGGCGTAAACATAGATATTTGCCTTTGTGGGTGATCAGAGAAGTGTGCACAGTAACTAGTAAATATATAACAGTGTTTTTTAACATAGATTTTTATTATCAGTCCTTTCTAGCACTTAATATATAGCCAATACAGTTTGACATATGAGATTTAGTTGAAAGAAAGCTTTCAGCAGGATTCTAGATATTTTTGTTTGAAAGACCCATCTCAATTTAAAAATTAAATTGTGACAGAGAGACAGGTTCTGGGAAATTTGACTGAGAAGCAGGAGCAATTGTATTGTACCTTTCCATTACAGCTAAGCTGTAATTGGTCTAATCGCTACTATAAAAGAACAAAATATTGGAATCTGTTGTGCAGTGGGGCGAATTACTTTACATGAATTTGAGAAACAGTGCAGTATCCTCCTTACTGCAAAACATTGCTGATGTATCAGTTTTATGGATATTCTACCTAATTTTCCTGTATTGTTTCAAAATAGCACATGCCCACTGATGACACTAACTCATAATGCACACAGGAGAAAGAAGAACCAAGGTTCCACACCCCACCTCAATCTCACCACAAATCAATTCCACCTTTGAACTAACTTGGCTAATTTAATGTTCTTCTACTATGGAGAAGGATTTAATGAAAGACTGACGCAAATAAAATCCACTGTACCTCCTGGCTGACTTCACCTGAGGAATACTACTATGGTTAGGTTTGTTGGTTAATTTTAAAAGCCTTCTTAAGCATGGAGTAAATTATGTCTGATTTCCAGCCTTTCCAGGAACAATCAAGTCACTCAACATCTCTCAATGGGAGCTTTGTCTGAGTGGCAGCAGGATCTCGTGTGGGGCAAGATGGAGACGTAGTTAATGCTCAGTTTCAGGCAGATGTTGACAGATGAGACCCCAGTGTTTCTGGGCCCTTTTCAGATATTCTTGCTGTATTGCTTTGCATGTGCTTTGTGCCTTTGATCCCCGTTTGGCTGCTTACAGCAGACTCTGAGCATTGGACTGTCCACCTCGCGCTGACGTCAGTGAGCCTTATACGCAAAAATACTGATTTCTGTGGTTCCTATAAACCACGTGGTTTCATATGACAGACATTGCTGGTGCAAATTGCCAAATCCCCACTCGCACCAAGAGCCTCGAATGCGCCTGACACATCTGACTGGATATAGCACTGACTGAGGAGGGTTCAGAGCTGAAGGGCAGAACTTCTATTCCCAATTTCTTTGAAACCAGGCTCCTTTGGATTTACTACATTTGCTCTTTGAACAAGTTGCTAGCTGATGCACTGGGGTTCTATTTTCCTGCAGTCATTCTCTACCACAAGTACCTGAGACAGGAGCTGTAGAAATAAAATTGTCCTTGCCTCCATGAGTTGAGAGTGGCTGAGGAAGAAAAGGCAGCTCATCATCTGTGGAGCTGGCAACACATTTCACCAGTGTAACATCATACATTTGAGTCATCTCTCCAGGGGTTTACTATGCTTTTGCAGCAAAACTCGACCGACCTCATGTGCTAACAGCAGTGATGCTAGTAGGCCTGCTTGGGAAATGCACTGTGCATCCTGCTGGTTTTGGGAATGTTAAAGTGGCCCCAGCTCAGCAGGTGTCCTCAGGAGTGGGAACTCAGATGCAATCAGGGAGTTGCTTTCAGATAGGAAATGAGTGACCCTGTCCTCTGACAACAGCAAAGGACAACTGTCTGGGCTAGATTCATGTTGAGGTTGGTGCTTCCTTAACATTTCATATAAAAGAGATCTTCTTTCCAAAGCTGGATTTCAGAGTTTCCTAAATTTGTCCCTTTTCATTGGGGGTAGAAAGATTTGTCATGTCCTCACAGGATGAAATGCTTGTTTACTAATACCTTCTGTTTTGGCAGGGTGTCCCCTGGATTCCCAAGTTGCAGGCAAAAGCCACTTCCCTTCAGTCTACCCTGCCAGCCCCTCACTGGACTGATACAGGCTCACAGCCTGTACTGGCCAGTCACCAAAACCTGGAATTCAGCCAGGGAAACCTGCTGTAAACATGAAGGTACAGAAAACAGCTGCCTGACTGCTGGCATGCCAAGGAAATAGGATGGTTAAGGAGCAGAGGAGAAGGCATCCCAGTCTGCCCTTAATTACAGTGCCTTGAAACCACTCTGTGGTTTCCAGCCAAGCAAGCTTGTTGTCTTAGGATGAATGCCTGTAAATTTGAAATAAGTAAATGACTTTATTGTGAGTATTTGGCTCAGGAGAGCCATAGCAGCATCCTGAAGGGCTATTTAAATGTCAATAACATTTTTTAATTCGGGCTATAGGAATTAAACAAACTCATATGGAATCAGCAAGCTACTAGTTTAAGTTTGTGTGGCTGTGGACAAGTGTGTGTGGCAGAGCAAACTTCCAGTCAAATAAAAGCAACAACAAACTTGTTAGCTCAAAACTTATTCTCGTTATTAAACACGCAGAACATTTCCTGGATGTTCCCGTACACGGTTTCTAGCACACGTATTAAATCCGTAGTCCTAGTTCCACTCACCCCGTTCGTTCCTCGGGGAACACCCGAGGGAGCGGGAGCGGGTGCTCCCAGCCGGCGGCGGGAGGGGAGCGGGGAGCGTGTGCGGGCTCCACTGCCCTCTCCTGGGGGAAGGCGCTGCCGGGAGTCAGCAAGGACTCGGCAGCTGAGCAAAAAGCGATGCGTTGGGCTGAGTGCTGCTGGTGTTTCACGGAATCACAGAATATGCTGCGTCGGAAGGGACTCACAAGGATCATCGAGTTCGACCCTTAGCCCTGCACAGGACCATCCCCAGGAGTCACACCATGTGCCCCAGAGTGTCATCCCAATGCTTCTTGAACTCTGTCAGCCTTGGTGCTGTGACCACTGCCCTAGGGAGCCCGTTCCAGTGCCCAACCACCTTCTGGGGGATGAACCTTTTTCTAATATCCAACCTAAACTTCCTCTGACACAACTTCAGACCATTCCCTCGGGTCCTGTCACTGGTCACCACAGAGATCAGCATCTAACCCTTCTCCTCTTCCCCTCACGAGGAAGTTGTAGACTGCAACAAGGTCTCCCCTTAGTCTCCTCCAGCTGAACAGACCAAGTGACACCTTTTCTGCTTTAGATTATACTTTGAAATATGGCATCAGGGAAAAAAAATGTTTTAGGGCTTTAAACTGAAAGCAAACAAGTTTAGATTAGATTTTAAGATTAAATTCTTTATTGTGAGGGGGTGAGGTCCCAGCACCGGTTGCCCGAAGAAGCTGCAGCTGCCACATCCCTGGAAGTGTTTCACCGTGTAACAGCACCCCTAAAGGTTTTCATCACAGTTGTGCTACCTATAGAGAGAATATAGCCCTGTGGAGTCAGAGATCCCAGCCACAGGCTGTGACTCTGCAGCCCCAAAGGTATCAAGACGAGGATCACATACTGCAGAGAGGTGCTGGGAGCAACCCACAGAGGGGCATCCCTGCTGGAAGGCTAAAATATCAGCTCTGCATGCTGCTTGCCAGGGGAACAAAGAAAAAAAGAAAAGAAAAAAAAGTTGCTTCTCATAACTGTGAAAATAACTGGGATACACATATCATTCATGAGACAAGACTCTCAACATAACGACGATTTTGTTTCTGAATAGTGATTGTCTGCCTACTAAGCTTTAGTTTCCAGTCCTTTCTTCCAAAACTAGTTTCACTTACCCTTGTATTTCCTGCTTTAATGTGTCTCCTGTGCTTTTTGTAAATACTGCCTTGTCCCATGGCTGGGCCTTTAGTCCAGAGAGAGATTAATTGAGCACATCTCTTAATGATGTGAGTGGCCTTCTTCCTTGAAGGGCTGAAATAAAAGAAGTATAGCAAGAGTCACATTTTCAGTTCTCCTGTTGGTCCCATTACCTAGTGTTCGAGTGCAGAGAAAGCTTGCCAGAAGGCTTTCTGGACACACTCAGTTTGTAGGAAACGGGGCCTTCAGAACCAAGCACAGCTTTTAATCCTCAGCTGAGGAATAAGGTCAGGTATGGCACCTCTTTCCAGCAGACCAGCAGGGAAACTCTGGCACCATTTTCCAAGCAATCTTCTGAGAAGAGATACAGAAGAGCTCTGTGGGGTGTTTCTCAGAAACTTCCCACCCCTCCAGGGAAGCTGGAGCCACTCACAGGATTCTTAGATTTCCAGGCACTCATTTGCCTTTGCCCTGTCTGTGTGCCACTTCTCAAAACCTGTTTCCATTTATGTCTCGTTTCTCTGTGCTTTGGTCGTAAACCAGTCTGCCTTGAGCATTGGAACCCCTCAGCTCTTTGCTCTGGGTAAGTCAGTCTGAGTTTGGCTCTGGTTTTTCCTTATTTTTTTATCAGCATTTATTTTCTGCTCCTGAGGGCATGTCTACATGCTCCAGTCTCACCATCCTGACTGTAAATTCCTGAGGACAAGGGTCTTCAGGTTCATTTTCAGCAAAGTTAACCAATGGATGGCTTTCTGTCAGGAGCTGACAGCAAATGTTACTAGAGCAGAGAATTTGAAAAAAAAAAAAAAAAAGCCACAAGAGAGTTAAATAAGCAAGATGTTTTGCTTTACAATTTTTAGGGCCAGATCTTCAAGTGGTGTAAGTTAGCATAAGTTTTCTGATGCTATAACCCCTACAATCTGAGTGGAAGTCAAAATTTGATGTGATTTTATTTACGGTTTGGTTATTTGCAAGGCTAAAACTCCAGCTTCTCCTGGGGGTTGGCATGGTCCTTTTCATCCTATATTTGGGCTGCTGCCACCTGTTTTGCAGGAGTTTGTTTCTATCTTTGATTTATATTTCTCTGCTGCACTGCATTGGCCTTGTTCTTTCACCTCCCCTCTCATTCATGTATCTCCTATTGTCCAACCTTTTCAGCTCTCTTTTCCCTCTTCCCCCTCCCGTCTTTCCTCTTCCTTGGTAGTTCCCCCTTATCTCAGCAATTGCTGCCAAGAGCTATATTTGGAATAGAGTGGGAACAAGCTATTCTTGTGACTTTACTTTGAAATAACTGGGAAGAGCAGTATGATTTTCTTTGAGCGAATATAAGATACATCGAGGAGAAGGCAGGCTAGTAAAGTCAAAACAACATCATTAGGGAATACCTGCCCAGCAGGTTCATCTTTCCCAACTCTCAGGATGACTTTACCAGTTATCAGTTCTTGTTTGCTCTGTTTTAGCTTTAAATCCTCCTTTTGTGCCAAGTTCCTCTCTCAGGTTAGTAACCTGAGGTGCTAACAAGGCCTAGCTTATCACCACAGTGTCTGGGCACTCATACATCAAGGGGAATGACTGCAACTTAAAATTTCAGATCCCAAAATTAGATGAACCAGGATATATATTTGTTTAATACCTGAACTCAACACCATTGCATCTTCTGGTGTAGTCACAGGATGCTGTTACAGAGTCCCACTTATATGGGCTAGCACAGAAATATGCTGGGAGGAGCAACTTGCTATGGAGCAATATGATTTCTCCATGTCCTCTTACATTAATTCTCTCTCATCACCACCTGTTCCTCATCCCCCCTGCCATTTAAACTACTCTGAGCAACATATTATCAAAGCCAGCAAGAAACAGAGCTACCTGAACAGGACAGCACAGAACGTATTGCTCCCTATGCCCCATATTTCTGTGTTTATACCATTAACTCCTACACTGGCAAATCAAACAAGAAATGAGGCCAAATGAGAAACTCAGCATCACATCTTAATGCTTTGTGCCTGTGCCAGAAGAAGACCCAAGTCTATTTGTCTACTCTCAAGTGAAGCTGGTTCTATTAAAACTGTACGGCTGTAACGTGTTTGTGTGTGAAACTGCTTCCTACAGGGGAAGATACATGAAAATACATGCAGAAAGATGCAGGGACAAGAGCTTTCCTTACAAGTGGCTACTAAATGTTTGACAAGAAACTAGAAGGAAGTGATTCTTCCATCCATCAATGGCTTCCTGGCATTTTATAAACCAGCTAACAGAAATGGTCATGCTGACATGGTGCTTCCACAGTTGTGTCTGCAACAATTGTGAATAAGCTCAGTTTGCCAACAGAATAAAAGCCAATACCAATATCTTAGGAGGGCAAGGCAGATAGAGCTGTAATGCTTTTCTATCAGACCATGTAAGAGAAAAAGACATCAGTCTTCAAGCAAACAGATTCTTTTCCATGTTCACACTGCTACTACTGCCACCACAATGCAGATCTTAAACATGCAGTGTATATCAATTACAAACAGTCTAAGCAAAGGGAAAAATGAATGACCCAGGCTAAGAAGTGACATTTCAGTACTACCGGTAATTCCCATCAGGGCTTGCCAAGTGTCTCTGGGCTTCTGTCCCTTAAAACTGACAATATAACAATAACAATATAATAACAATACAATAACATTTCATACTGAATTAAGCACATGTGCAATGGCTAAGCACATTTCATTAGTATCGGATGAGTTTTGTGCTGCCATAGAAAGCACATTTATTTTATTTATGTGTTCCCAAACTCAGGACAACAGACAAATGAACTTTGACATATTTAGAGAGCACTGCTAAATCTATGGTGAACTCAGAGTGCCCTCCAGTTACCTCTCATCCCCTGTCCCACTCTCACTATGCAAAAATCTTTAGTTTAAGGCTCACAGGGCACTAAGGATACAGACCTGGGCCGGTTTGCTGAAGAGGTAACTAGCCCACAGCTGTATGTCCACAAACAAGTCTGCACTTACTGGCCCAGGGACCAGAAACTGCTTCCCAGGCTCAGGAGTGCCAGTGTGCCTTTGCTTTCTATTACTGAGCAGATGCAGATATGACTGAGGATTGGCTGCACCAAAGTTGGAACTAAACCCTGCTAGGAAAGCCACCAAGTCGGCTTTCCTCAACCTCCCTGGACTGGACCAGCTGAGAAGATCAGCATTTTCTGGGCCTTTCTGCCACCATTCAGAATGAAGGGAATTTTCATACCCATAGTTCGAGTCCTTACCCATGGTGTGTGATGTGCTGGATTCATCCCTCTTTTCTACCTAAAAGCAGCTCAGCCCATTTCTTTCACCTTGTAGGATGGCACCCAAAAACGTTTCAGAGTTATTCTGGGGCCTCCTTGTGTCTTTCTCACTGGGCTTTACGTGAATTGAGCCAGCTGGACTGTCTCCACACTGGAGGTCTGGGTACCTGCCTGGAGAAGGCCGAGATACAGTAGGAAGACATAACTTGTGTCCCAGTTTCTGCACTGCGGTGTCGAGCAGGCCACAAGGAGTTGACAGGCTGTGCATCTGGAGAAGGGTAAATGAGATAACTTTAAGTGCTACATTTACAAGTATTAATCTGCAGTTACAACCACAACCTGAAAGTGCTTTCCAGGCATCCAAGGATGGAGAATCACTGTTGCCATATCCCACAAGTGGGAAGAGAAGGTGTGAAGAAGGAGCTGTGCCACACAGATGATGTTTTTCACTTCAATCCCTAAGAGATATCAAAGAATAGGAAGTATTGACCCTGTGATATACAACGGACCCTCTTTAAAGCTACGTTGAATAATCATAACCATATCAAAAACCCTATCCTGTGGTTCAGGACAGCACTTGTGCTGGAGCATGCTAAAAACACCATCTCTGCCACATGCCTGGACAGCTGACCAGGCATGCCATGGACTTTGCAGGCTTTCTGATAAGCACACTTACTGAAACACAATTTAAAGTTGACAATGTGTCTAAAAACACACATAATGTCAGAGAAGGAAGGAAATGTTGCTTCCCCTTCTCTCCCCCAAACTCATTACAGGCTAAGGAAAAATAATGTATGGAGAATAATACTTCACCATCTAAAGAGTTTTTCTGGTTTCTAAATCTAGTGAAGAGTCATTGTATATTTTGACAGAAAAATGGATCAAAATAATAAAGTGAATACAAAATTATATTGCTGTCAATAATTTAATTTACACAAAATAGCACTGTGACATGGTAATTGTTATATATGATGCAGCATTCAGTATAATATTTGGAGAATGCATTATAGAAAGTCAACATTTAACTACTAAAATCAACTTACATAATCAAAGCTGTCAGGGAATCTTTACAGTTTTATATTAATTTGAATGTAATTTACTATAGAGGTGTCATTCTTAGAGGTGCTTACAATAGTTAATGATCTCTGCATTTCCATTATAAAATCCTATTTTCAAAGGTTTATAACTTGGTCTTAAGAACTCTCAGCCCTCTGGCACATTTTTCTTTTCCTTAAAAAAACTATGTTTTAAACTTTTCTCTCAGACCAGATAGTGTGGTTACTTTCCAAATCCATTTTGAGGATTTGCTAATTTGCTGCTTACTACCCAGAGATGTCAGAAAAAGAAAGGTCCTTCACAGCAGAAGACATTACAGTTACATTGTCTTCTTCCATTTTCCTGAGTATATTACCCCTCAGGCCGTTTTTCTTGCTGAAGTGTCTGAGTATCTCCCAATATTGCGTCCAAACCTCCATCACTCCATCTCTCTTTCCCGTGTTGCTGCCATTAAGCTTTCTCCCAGGTCCTTCCCCTAATCTCAGATTTGGACTCCTGGTTCTGTTCTGTCTCTTCTCACAGATGTCCGCATTTATGTTGGCAGCTGGAACTTCCATCACACCCATCAGTCAGTGGCCTTTCCTGGCTGCACAGTCCTTCAGCCTCACTCATTTTTTTCAAGCTGCAGCCCTAGTTCACTTTTCCAACTCACTAGAAGACCAACAATTAGTTTTGCTCCAGCAAGTACATTTCTCTCCCTGATCTTTCATGCTTGATTCATATCAGACACTACCCATCAACCACCCCAGACCTGCTCTGTCTGTCGGTTAGTGATTTTTGGTTTCCCAGCCACGGGAACTGTGCAGCCCCAAGGCACTAAAGCTGTCCAGGGGGTAGGACACTGCAAACCAATTGTCCACAAACACATTGTTACAGGTCATTCCCAAAAACAGAATTTGAAAGGCAAATTGTCAACACAAAGCTATTATCCATTATAAAACCAAAGCAAATAATAACCTTGCTTTGGTAGACCTGCTCCAGTTCACAGGTCTAGTTTTTCCCAAATCCTACTCAAATTCACTTTTTTTTCCCCTTCCATGTTAGCCAGCTGTCATTTTGGATCCCCCATCTTTCTGTAACCTCAGTGTTGTTAGACCAGACATGTTTGAGCCAACATGTACAACTACCCATAATCTAAATCATCACTGCCATATAAACATTTAGATTTACACTGAAGTAATTTTGTCACTTGTCCAGGATCTCTTTATTTTCCCTGCAAGGACAAGAGCATTTTAAAGTACTTGTGATGCCTTCTAGCCATTCTGCCTTGATATGGCCTCTTTTGTCCAGTGCCAACACTTAGCCAAAACATTTCCTTTCCGTTTTTCCATCATTGCCATTTCCCCTCTTTAAAAAAAAAAAAAAAGAATGTACTAGTTTCTAATAATTCAGTGATGTCACAGATAAGATGGGATGATGGACGTGATTCAAGAAAAATGTGCTTATATTTAGACTGGATAGAACTGGTGACTAACTCAGTGAAAGGGCAGATAACAACGAGAAAGACAACACAGAGTATTCTGTTTGATCTTTCAGATTCATAATTTAGTGATACAAAGAAACTCTAGAAATCACTTCTATTTTTCCCAGGGGATATGCAGCTGGATACAAGCAGGATGAGTGTTTGGCTAAATTATATTTTAAGGAAACATTTGACACACTTCAGATCTTCATTCTGGTTTTGGGAAAAAAAACTAGAAGACTGACTGTAGCATGGACTATTGCCTGAAAGCTCCGGATGTTATTTCATCATTCTTTGTGTTGAGAAAACAGAACTGGAAGATGAAACTTTAAAACTGTCAGAAAAGCCAGGAACTGTATGGATCTCTTCTCCAGTAGAATGAATGGGACCTGACAGGCACAGGAGCTTAGAGGACGATCTTCCAGACTGGATGATGATTCTTGAATTTTCAGTGTCCCCCACAGAAAAATCTACCAGACCGGTTTATCTCCATTCAATATTTTTACTCCTTGAATCTCAATGAGGAGGTTTTCCTCTGATGTAGGTAGTGCTGCCTGCTCTCCCGAGGTTGACGCCCACTTCATTCAAGTATTCCTAGTGCAGCAGGGATGTTAGTGGCTACTGGCTTGCAGCCAACATCCCACACATTTCCTCCGCAGCAAAAATGCCTTAATTCTGACCCACTGCCTTTCAAGTAGATAGTGAAAAAAAATCAGTCACAAAGAGCTTTGCTTTTATCTGCATTTCTCCTTCAGAAAGATCTCAGAAAAACGTCAGACATTGTTCTTTTCTTTTCCAAGGTCCACGGTCAGCGAGAGTGAGGTTTGGTGCTGCTGTTTCCCTGAGCCCAAGAAGAAGCTAAAGGCATTCAGACCCTTGCACTTAGGGGTTTGGGTAAAGGAGTTTTAGGCAGGGTAAGTGCCCAGGGGGTGGATCACAGTGCCTGCCCATGTGCCAGTGGCTGCATCCAGCACTTCTCCTGCTCAGCAGCTCTCCTGAACACCATTCTTTCTGAATCAGTTCAGCCATCACCTACAGTAGGAGCTTGTGTTTCTCAAGCAGGGCACTGAAGAGAGATCAGAAGGGACAGTGGGTTTTGGCTCCTGGTGGAAGTTTTCCATGATCAGCACAGAAAGGAGGAACACTGCTGATATTACCTAGAGCTGTGGGCAGTGTGTCCCAAGTCCAGCATCTGAATGGGCAAGAAGACAATGCACACCACTGAATCTGAGATGGGACAAATTAGGCAACCCACATGCATTTTTAGACCCGCAAAGCCAAGCATATACGTGGGTTTAAGACCAGTGCCCAGAAAATGAGATATAGTGGAACAAAGTTGTTTACTCACAATTCCGTTGCACATAACCCTAAGGGAAAACAGCACAGACAAACAGGTCTTATATTTGATAATCTGGTCAAGCGGACATGAGGGGAGGTGCAGCGGTGACCATAGGGGAATGTGGAGCCCAAAGTTACAGTACAAGGAGGGCTGGAATCAAAAGCCAGGGAGAAAAGGGCTGGCAAATCATAGAGTTAACTTCCAGTGGTGCTGTCAGGATAAAAGAAAGATAAACTACTCTCCAAGTTAGCAAGTTAGGTAGTGAGAAATATTTGAGGCAAGATGTTAATAAATAAATATAAATCAAAAAGGTATCAGGAAAGAAACCCCCAAAGAGAAATACAGTCTAGGAAAAATCACCAGCAAGTGGAAGGCAGATGGCCAAATCTTGTCATACAGAGAGAAAGATACTCTGCTTCGTTCAGTAGAACAAGAAAGTCTGGATGACTATAAATAAGAAAGATAATTAAATGGAATGGAAGGAATTAATTAAAGAAATTATTACGCTGACCTTGCATAAATAAAGTTTCAAACATTGCACACATGCTAATTTGAGGAATAGGATGTCTATAAGTATGGAGACAATTAAAAATATTCACTCCTTTATACTGGGATAAAGGTAGAACCTGAATGGAGGTTAGATGTATTTGGTACTGTTCCATCTGATTATCATCTTGGAAAAATTACATGGAAACTGATGTGGCAATATCCTGAATTCAAGGAGAATTGCAAAACGTACAGATGAACTCAAGGAACACAACTAAAATGGTAAAATGAGCATAGGTTAAAACGCAAGCTGCAGAAAGCTGACAGCAGGAATGACTTCAGAAAAAACAAGGGTAGGTAAATTGGATAAAACAGAGGAAAAGGCTGGCACTCATCATCACCATGACACTTGCATTACATCTCACTTCCAAGTGCAGAGTCCAATTTGGGAGAAGGCAAGCAGCAGAATATGCTCTTTTATAGGGAAAAAAAGGCTTCTTTCTTTTGTAAGTTCCTGTGTCAGTAGCCATTTTATGGGGCTGCCAATCATGGCAAATCAACTGAAAAGCCAGATCATTTTCTAAAGCATCTACCTTCCTAGAGAAAGATTTTCAAGTTGACTGTGTACAATCCAGCTGCTGCTTTTAATCTTTCCCTGACAACAGTAGTTGTTTTATTACTCTGACAGTCATTTTTAGCCCATGAATAGTACCACAGTCCTTGCAAGATAGGAAAATTCTTTTGATCTACAATTTCATAAGGTTTAGCAATGGACAAAGGATTTTTCCAGTATACTTGATCACACACTTGCTGAAGTTTAGGCTTAGAGGCAATAAAAAACCACTGAGCCACCACTTTGGAGATACACAAAAATCCTTTTTGATGAGTAATGACTGCCAAAAAAATTAGTTTATTATAAAAATACTACTTTCTAATAGAAAAGTAAAAATCAGGTTACTCCTGAAATAACTTTGATTCATTGCCACGATCACTTTTCACCTTCACACTGTTTTAATATGGTATGATCTGGAGGATAGAAAATATGGATGCGAGGTAGGCATAAGTGTATAAAAGGAAGGTGTTTCAAGATGTCTGTAATAACTGAGAGAAACTGGGAGAAGACTCAGGCAGACACAGCAGTTTTCCAGCATAATGACTTGTTCCATTTGCTGTGCAAGTAAGAACTGTATGTTTTGTGCAGCCTGAAATACTGTATAAACTCTAAAATAAAATATATTTCTAAATAAAAATAGAAAGCCATTCAATAACTATTTTGAGTGAAAAAGTAATTGAAAATTGTAATAAAAATCTGTAATTTTTATTAATACAGGCTGCAGTACTTTGAGCACTTACACATATGTTAAACTTCTCACACATGTGCATCCCATTTTCTTGTCCTATTCACACTGGAACCCATTCTGGTTTTCCTTACATATAAGGAATTAAAACAGAAGGCCTTTGTGATAGTAAAGTGTAAGGATAATGGTTCCAGGAGGGCTATCAATTTAGCAGCTAGTCAGCTAGTACATAGCTACCTATGGGGAATATTTAGATAAGGTGCTGAATTGGAGTCTAACTTCTTTAAATTCTTTCCTTTGAAAACTCCAAGTCCATTGGCACAGCCAATTTCCATAAAGACATTCCTCTCCAAAAATCTACGCCAGATTTAAAATTTAAAGAGTAAAAAGAAACAATTTTATTTTTGGTTGGATGCAGTTAGAAATCAGTCATTGTAATACTTAGGTTGATCAGAAGGGAATTACAGAGGATTAAAGGATGAACAGGAGTTCCTCTTCTGCTCCCTGCATTGTTCAATTGTTCACAACTCTAGTATTTCTTAATTAACTATATTACAGTACACAGAAACATTGGATTTCATATCTTTTGCTAGACAGCTTCTATTTATATTCTCTTAAAATTTCCACAAAATTCCCCCCCCCAAAAAAAATCACATTTTCTGGCAAAATGCCAGCCTGACTCCTACAGTCTAACATTCACAACATAAATACTTTGCCTCAGAATTTTCAAATAAACAACTTAAGTTTGGTTTCATTAAATTCTTTGGACAATATATTGAGATGTCTCTGTGCAATTACTAAAAAATTTTAAGTCCTCCACAATCAGCTAAAACTGACTCCAGTGTCACTGACCTTGAGGAATCAGCTCTCAGTGCAAGCAGAGATCTTCACTTCTGTTTCTCCAGTTTGCCAGATCTCTAAATGAAAGACTTTTTAAAGGGTTATCTTTGCTCTAAACAATTCAAACTGTATTTTTAGCCCACTGTTTTGAAATAATGCACGTTTCTGAGTTCTGCATGTGCAAGATTTTTCTTTCCATTTTTTCCTCCGAATTAGGAGGACTCAGAGGAAAGAATTTGGCCATGGTTGTTTGCTAATTATGTTCAAAAATTGCTACAGAACATCAACCTCTTGCATCAGACCATGCCTGGAATTGCAACTTTCTCAATGTTTTCCCACTCAGTCCTGTTAACTGAGTTATTCCCTGCCATTATCAACTCTTGGACTTTCCCTTTGAGACCTCAGTCCATTACAGTGGGAAAGATGGACTTACTGCAGGAAACACGGACGTGTTTCTGCATCCTTCCGGCCACATCTTGCAAAGTGCATAAGGCATTGTGCAACAAAAATGAATGAAAATTGGAAAGCACAAGGAGAGCTGTGCTCTGATAACCCATGCAAACTGCAGCTCACACAGGTGTCCTCTTCTCTGAGAACTGTCAATAACTAAAGAGAGGTCTGGCTCCAAGCCCTGCTGGAGCCAGGAGCAGTTAACACCCTGAGCTAAGGTGCAGGCCTTGACTGCTCCCAGCACAGTGACTTTCTGCCACTCCAGACTGCCATGGTGCAGCTGACAGGCAGCTCATTGCATGGGCAGGGCAGCAGAACCACAGCGCCTGCAGGGACTTCCTGCAAGTGGGACTGGTAAAGGTTCAGGGAGCACAGACTTCCCCACCAGGACCAATCTGTTGTCTGCAGTCATGTTTATTTAACTGATGATCTACATCTGCAAAAGCATCAGCTTCACAACAAATTATTCATCAAAAATCTAGCTCCATGCTTTCTGCTTTCCAATGCTGACTTTAAGGATATTTCATCTAATAAATCTGAAGTAGGAATGAATAAACAAATGTGGCATTATACTAACCTTGTTAATTATGCATCAACTACATGGTGCTGGAAGTACACACAATACTAGGAGCTCATGGAAGATGAGTCTGCAAAAAGGAAAGATTATTATCTACATGATCAGAAACCTCATTTTGCTTTAAGCTTCATCTGTTTTGGGTGGTTTGACTGAAAAATGTATTAATAATTTCCAAGTTGTGGCTGACTGATTTAAAATATTTCAACATTCTGTACGCTGTACCTAAAAACAAAATCTTCCTAGTGTGGTGTTCTGTCTCTTCATTTGTAAAATACAGCTATTTCTTCGTCATTCTGTGTGGGACCAGAGAAACACTACAGAGCTTTTTGCTTTGGAAAGGGAAGAAAGAAAGAAAAAAGGAGAGTTCCCTTCCCAACAGCAAATAAAAGGCCCAGTCTCTTGGCATCAACTCACTGACTCAGATCTTCTGAGTTCTCTTCGAGAAGGAGACAAATGTTGTCTTCTGCATTACAGTCCCAGTAGAAGCTTTTCTGCATAGCGAAGCAAATCATAAACATAAGGCCCTCATTAGCAGAAAAAGCTTTTCCAGGAACAGAATAGTGACTGGGAAATCATCCGATTCTTGGACAAGCGGTATTTCAGCCATCAGCCCCAAGACAAAAGGAAAGGGGAGGCCAAGGGCTCTGGCACTAAGCTGTGCTCATAAGGACCTTCCTGCAAAACCTCTTCCAGGCACGTGCAGGACAGTATCTGCTTTCACTCAGGTCATTCAGGCTCAGCACCCCTACAACATCCCACCTTTCTCCTTGATGTGACAGCAACTTCTGCAACAGGCACACTCCCACACTTTCTGGGGAGGAAGGATGCTTGTTTTCTCCTGGTTGCAGAGTCTGAAGTATCTGCCAATATTCAGCACTGCTGTAACAAGGGCTCTGTTGCAAAATGCAGGTCGGTGCTCTCTCAGTTTCCTGGTAATCCAAGAAAAATTGTACTGATGTAAAAAAAACCAAAAGAGTTTAAACAACCAATAAGGACTTGCATAGGACCCTTCCACCTCAATTCTTGTCATTTTTCCAGCAATCAGGCCAGGCCGGGGTGTTGCAGCATCATCCCAACAGTTGGCATGAGCACAGTCAATTGCCCTTCCTCCCAGTTCCCATCTTCTGCCTCAAATCAGAAGCTGCTTTGTAGTACTGGAGACAAGGAAGCATCCTCCTCTGGTTAGAGATGCTGCATACATATAAAGAAAAGGATGAAAAATTAAAAATATGTCTGTAGCATTTGTATAGGTTATACACACATATATATGTGTATATATAGATATATAGCATTTGTATGGATCTAGCTTGTTATCCAAAATTTCTTACATGTAAATAAGAGAGCATTTGGCTTGTGTTTTGGGGCGGTTGGTTTCCCACTCAAACATATGAGGCTGCATTACAGCTACAAATGTTTCTTTTGAGCAGTTAACACTGCAACAGTTCAAAAATATCTATGCAAACCTTTTACAGGTGATGTTCTTAAGCCTTGCATTAGGGTATTATTGTAGCTAAACCCGATGGACTGAAACAGTATCACCTCTGTTAAACCTCATCCATTTTCTATGAACAGTTCTCAAAACAGTGGAAATTGCTGTCCCAGCTAAACTGAGTATCATCATGAAACAAAACCAAGTGTTCAGAAAATTTTCAGCAAATGAGGTTATATTGTGACACATATTAAGATCTCTCAGAAAGGAGAATATTTATTGCTAACAAGCTTCCAAAGCAAGCTGGATATGTAGGGCTGATGGATTATTTTTTCATCAATAAATTGTGGAGGAAATTGCAGAATTGACATTAATCTTGCACCTTAACACTTCTTGCTGTGAGGTTTCATTTCATAAATATTCCCTTAAAGTAGAGGTTTTAAAAAACTAAAACGACCAGGGTCCTCGGCAGTGAAAGGTGAAGTGGGCTATATTTGGGGTCACCTTTGCAGAAAGGGAACACCTCGATAAATGCTCTGTGTGACTAGTTGTGACAGAGGGTTATGTGTCTGCCAACACAACCTACATTTTTTACGTTAATAGTACAAGTCAGAATAAATATTATCTCCCCTCATGTGACAGACCTTTGATAGAGCAGAATTGGCCTGGTTGATTAGGAGCACGTGTCAAACACAGATAATGGGGGAATCCCTTTCAGCAGCAGCACACCAGCTCAGCAACCATAATGAGGCCAATTTAACGAGCCTTCTGTTTTACAAGAGATATTAATTGCAGTCCTGTCACATAAGGTACAATTCAAGATAAAATATGTAAAAAGGGGGGAAATTAGATCTCATTCCATTTTGGTCACCATTATAAATTTTCTTGCAGGACCATGAATCTCCCCACTGCTGATCTGAATCCCCTGGGTGGCTGACATGCTGCAGTAGAACAATGTGCATTGTTATGAGGGCTGTTGAACACCAGAAGAATGTCAGGCTTTTCGTTGAATCTTTCTACCACTATGATTTTTATTCTACTCTACACAGGTTTTGTTGTTTGTTTTCTAAAAATGCAAAAAGCAGGCACCATTCCTGAACAAGTCTCAGCCACCAAGCTGCCCACCTTCTTGTGTTGAAGATTTAGCACTAAAATTAATTCTAATACATTGTTATTTCAGTGGATGCAGAGTGCTTCCGAACCAAATCTATGTTGTCTTCTAACAATGAGTACATTTGCAACGAAACATTGGCCGCAAAGCTCCAACTGCAATATATTCAGCCCTGAATATTGCCAAATTATATAAAAATGGGAGTGACCAGAGAATTTTAATCCTTACCTCTAATCCCAACATCTGGTTAGAATAGTTCAGTTTGTTTAAAGATACCGCAACAGCAGCTTTGCAGAGAAACTTGTTGCTCAGGAGATGAGCCTTAAGGCTGCTCATAATCTTAAATCTTTTGTCCTTGGCAATGCCAAGAACTCCAGAACCACAACATGTACAAGCTGTGAACATACCCAGTACCTTGGTCATCAAAAGGTTAATTTTTTTTCTCAGCACTGAGAAGGAAATAGGTGGAAAGAAAAGCAAAGATGGACTAATTTTTCTATTAAATATGTTAATGAGATTATTTTATTTTTCAGCAAGGAGGAAGAATGCCCACAAAGACAGATTTATATAGGTCTTTACATTCTAATCTGAGAGATTATCTCACAGAGTTTAGGACATGATAAAAACAGAGTTTAAAGCTGCTTGCAAGCCCAGGCTCACCAGCAAAGTGGTTACCTTAAGGGACTTCGGGTAACACATCAGGAAGCTTCTAAGAAAACCTTCCTTTCTTACACTGATGCCAGCAGTGAAGTCCACCATTTTCTGCACAAAGCCTGCACATTCAGGAAACACAGTACTGAAATTCAGCCAGCCACACACATCTCGCAGAATTCAAAGCATGGTCTGTCAGCCAAATGACACAAAACATTGAAACACACAGTTCTAAAGTCTGGTCTTATTCAGCAAAATATTTGCATACTTTCAGACACATCTCCAAATGATAGCATTTCCTAAATCCCACCCTCAAGAAGTGAGGCCACGTTTGGCCTAAAGATGCAAATACGTACCAGCCTGGACTCTCAGAAGTATCTAGGAGTCCTAATTTATATTCTAAAAGTCCCAGCTAGAGATTATCTGCATTTTAGGAAACTCAATAACACTTCAAATCCCGTCCAAGGAGTTTAATTTGCTTCTGAAAAGAGGTGCTTTAAAGATTATAAATATACAATTCACAGTAATAGAACCTCAGCATGTACTCCCATACCTGTTGGACCAGAAAGCAAGTCTGACACTAGAAATAGCAGCTCTCTACTGCTCGTGTGGAAATGCTGAGATCATTCCAGGTGACCCTGTGCAAATATAAAAGGACCAACAGAGTTTTTGTAGGCAGTATTTTCTGATTGTAAGAAGAAACCCAAAATACCCAGATGTGAGAACATTCACTGGTAAAATTATTGAATAATCATTTCATGATATGGGTTTTTTTCTGTTGCTTTTTAAGATTTTCATTAATGGAAAATACCGATATGGGAAGACAGTGCAATATATAATTTCATACTATGCACCCTGACAATATCCTTTCTGAGATTAGCCATTTCACGTTTCTGAAAAGTACCATGTACATGTAAGCCTCTTAATTAAATACAGGAAATTATGTTCAAGCAACCCTCTTCCACATTCTGAATATGAAAGAGTCCATTAGAATATTGATAGCCCATGCAATATGTTAATGTTGGAAAACATGCTAGTTTTCAGTAATTACAATGACTCATCAAGAAAGAGGGGGGGAAAGAATTAATATATTAACTAATTTTGATTGTCTTTCGTGCTGTCACATCATGAGGAAATAAGAGCCTGGTGTATGCAAAAGCAGCGTTTGCTGTCTCTTGCAGGGAGATCACTTCCCCACGGAGCCGGGATGGACCCTGTTCTGTGACCTTTGGGAAAGCCGCCCCCGCCCCCCTGCAGTTAACACGTTCTGAAGACCCTCCTTTGTCTCTGTGCCTCTGGTCACATACTAGCAACGGGCTCTGCTACACTGGAATTAATCAAACAAACTGCTCCAAGCTTTAATCTTTTATATGGCAGCCACAGAACTGAGTGTGTCATCTCGTGAGTCCCATATTTGTACACATCCAGCAGAAGAAATGCATGTGTGACGTATTGCCTTCACCAACATGCCAGTTGGTATTTTCAGCTTGTTCCGTGATAGCTGCTTCCTAAATCAAGCACCTAAACCAAGAGCAAGGATAGATCTGTCCTTGTGTATTGAATTTCAGTGACCATGATAAAACCTGCAAGTATCCAGAAAACAGGTCTCAGTGTACAGAAAATCTGAATTTCCAAATCACCAGCACAGACCTGCCAGATCTCAACTTCACCAGATCAAGGTTGAAATGCCACAAAGTGGTGTTCTCCCAGTCCACAGCCTGGGCAAGGAATATGAGACAGTGTCAGATGAATCCTAGCATTTTTATATGACTTTTCCACAACATCTGAAACCCCTTAGGTGAGCACATACCTGGCATTCTCTTGACCCTTCAGCTTGCTCTCCCTGCACGGCACCAGCTGTTTGGGACTCTACAAACAGCAAAACCTCCCTGGAGGCTCTGATGCAAGGTGGCAGCTGTAACAGATGACATCTAGTTATTAGATCATACACTGCAAACAGTGTATGTTTGCCTTCTAGCAAACATTCTCAACTCTCAGTTCAGGCCAAACCTTTCCTTCCTTCCTAAAGTAAAAGGTTAGTGTCCAGGTCAGCAGTGAAGAACAGGTCTGGTACCCTGGGGTATGAGATTCCACATGAGATGGGGAGTGAGCGTGAAAAGTGTTGTTAGTGAGTCTCCTCTGTCTGCCGTTAGAGGAAGGTCCTTGTTATTACAGGGGAAATTAGAATACTTGAAGCTCACTAAGTATTTAAAATGCAACTACTTCAAAAAGACAGGCTACAACTGAAGTTTTCAGCAGCGGCTTTCAGAACCCCACCCTCAGCAAAGCAGAAAGAAAAGAAATGGGAGCTCAGCATTTCTCACAAAATAGGGCTGTGTAAAACCCCCAGGGCCAAAAATACTCTTCAGAGATCCTTGGAGAGCATAAAAGATCAAAACTTCAACCTCAGCCCTGTGTGTATCTGAATTGCTAATAGATGCTCAGTACCGACTCCATCTCAGCATCACACAACAAGGATTAGAGGTAATCATGTTTTTAAGGAAAGGGAGTGTTTCACATTGTCAGAAGCATCTTCAAAACTCAGACTCAGAATTATGATATAGCATTTTCTGTCTTGCCCTGAACAAGGTTTTCCAATCACCACTTATGAACAGCTGCACCAGCCCTGCCTTCTTCTTATGTGCTAAACAACAATAGGACATTGCAAAACTGCAAAGGCTTGTCCTGTCCATTTAACCAGCGTGTCACATGGAGACAAAGCATAATGCAGCCCTGTGAAAAGTCCACCCACAAACTTCATTTCACACTATAGAATGAGGCACTTGAGTTCTCTGTCATCCTTCTCTCACGTGAATTCACATGACAAGAACTTAAACATTTTGGAGACTACAGAATATAACTTTCCAAAAAGTTGCCTGCTTAAAAAAGATAATTAAAAATATTTCAGTCTACTTGCTATTTTTTTCTTGTTCAAAACTCTTGTGTTCAGTTTGTTTTAAAATGTAAATCAATACTGAACAATAAAACAGAGTAATTGCCATTGAAGAGAAAAGTCATGCCATCTTATTAAAACCTAACAGTACGGAATTGGAATCCACAGCACTTTGAAGTGAATTAAAATGCTATCACTAGAAATACAATTTTTTTCATTACCAAAACACAGTGCCTTAAGTTGCAAGATAAAGTTTAAAAACCACCGCAGTATTTGTTATCAAACACGAGATATTTATTTTATCAATTTAACCCATAACAAAACACCCATTATACTGACACAGCGGTACCTAAAAGGACAACCCCCCTCCCTGCATTCCCACTCATGCTCACACACAAACACACATTCGTTTTACCCACAGCTGGCAGAACAGCCTCACAGCTCCAAAGGGAGGGGCCAAAGGAGCAACAAAACCAGATATTAACTGTGAGAAAAAGGCATTCCTCAGAAGAGCTGTATTTAGAAGACAGTTACATGTTGTTACCGTGTTGTATTCATGGGACTGCACAACAACACAGTAAAAAGAAATTAAAAGGAAGGGACAGTGAAGAGGATTTAAAACTACTATTCTAGGAGTCTATTTTCCTTAAGCAGAGTTGTAGGAACTAGAGAGGACTGTAGTTAAGCAATCAAATATTCCTGGAAGAAGTCCTTTATATAAACAATGGAATCATTCCTGTTTGGTTTTATTCAGATTTTATAAGCCACAAAATAACCGTTTTAATATTTAATTTTATAACTAATTAATTCTCTGCAGTGGGGAACTAAAACAAACTTGGAACGATTTTTCTTAAATGAAGAGACAGTTGATGGCTCATCCTTAGCCTTTCTGAGAACTCACTAACAAACTTCCCCACCGATGTCCCCATGCAGCAGGGCCTCAGCACTGTAAACCACCAGCATTTACCTTTGGTTTTAACAGTCACAAAACAATGCAAAGGGAGCATGAAAACAGCCAAGGGAGGTCAATAGCTCTGTGTCAAAGTAGCATACAGCCAATTACTCAGATCCTGCAACACACTGAGGATTTTCACCTGCCAAAAACTCAAGGTGCTGGCAGGGTGGATCCAAGGACAGAGACTAGGGACTTTTGTCTAAAGACGCTTCTTCTGGATGCTATTCCAAGAACAGTTATACCCCAAAATCTCTTCAGCTATGCACATTCAGAACAAAATGTGGTATTTCCAGTAACAGAATGAAGATTACTAGCATTAGGTTAGTGGTCCTGCAAAGGCGCCTGTATTGATGGTAGGGGCCCTGTTTTGGTCACTTAGTTTAAGCACAGGTGCTGCTCCCCTGATTTTACAAGGCTATTTGCCAGATGAAGAACTGCAGGAGTCAACAGACACGTCAGTCCTCACAGTCAGGAGAAAGAACCCACTTAAATGTCATGGTTAAAGGAGGCCTTTAAGACCCAACTCTCTGACATGCAGGTGAACACAATGAAATTACAGTAACAAACCTTGCACAGATATAAGTGGAGCAGGAAGTGGCCCTCGGAGCCAGCTGAAAGCTGCAGAGAGCCAGATGGGAGATCCTCCAGACAGCGTAATCACACTCCCAAGAAAAGAAAAAGAAAACTTCGAAGTTGCCAGGTGTAGCTTTAGGCAGGTGCCAGTCTTCCTCAGCTGAAGTCATTGAACAAAACTTCAGGAATGAAAAACAGCTTACCTAGGCCTTCTGAAAAATTAAGCTAGAAGATTGCGATGGGAGCAGGATAAACGACAGCTCTGCTGCCTTCTTGTGAATTCTTTTGGAAAAAAAGCAGTGTAAAAAAAAATCAACAAATTAATCACCACTGCGTCGTTTTCCTCATGAACATGACCCACACAGTTCAAGAAGGAAAAGTGTTCCTCTACAACCAGGCTGTTAAGAAATTACCCTGCAAATAAGAACTCTCTCTCTCTCTATTGTAATGGGTCTTGACATTGACTTTGTCATGTTAATTTGCCGAATTCAACCCCAGTATTTGTTTGAATTGAAGCAGCAAAGACATACAAACATCAACTATTGGCTAAGTCCATGAAACACAAAAACTGCCTTTGATGGTCAGTGGTACTCCCTGTACTTTTCTTTCTTTTAGCAAAATTAATGATCAGATACAGGAAAAATGCAGACCGGCTGAATTGTAAGTCATCTTGTTTTGGCAAAGAAGAACAAGCTCTGGGGGGAGGGGGGAGAGGGGAAGGCACACCGAGTAATTTGACAGAATATATTTCTCAAATAAAGCAAGCTCTAATGTTATCAGCCAAAGAAAATCGGCAGAGGATTTGCTGTAATAAAGACACTTCTCCAAGCACAAATTTTCCCATTCTGTTCAGAGATACCTGACATCACTGTACCCCCATTTGGGAATGGCTTTGAGGCAAGGGAGCAGAACTGAGAGCAGCCTGTAAGTAGGAGCCAACATGACTGCAAGGACTATGTGCTGCATATTAGCATCCACAGAGGATGCATGGAAGCAGACTGAATGGGTACACAGGAACATCTGCCAAGCCAAGCACAGAAGAAACAGAAAAATATAAAAGTCCTATGTTGTATTCTGTATGTTTTTCGTAAGCACCTCGGTGATGAAGGCCCCAAAGACGGGAAGAGGTTGATTGCTGTCTCACTTGTAAACAGGAGCGTTGATCCCTTTGGAAGATGTTGGAGTGGTCCAAAACAGTTGAGGAGGGCTTTCACCTACTG